AGGGAAAGCTCAGGATTTGGAAGTGCAGACCAAGAAGTGCATACAGCTGGATTTATACACACTCACATCTCACAGATGTTCTACCTTAACCATCCTTAAAACACCAGAAATCCCACAGCCTTTGATTCAATACCCAACTGTCCTGCTGGATAAAAGTGAGAAAAGCACTTGCTTTTAATCTTTGTTTTACAGCACTTCCCTCCCCTCTTCCTCCTCCAACAAAAAGGAAAGCTGCCAAGCAGAGAAGAGCCCAAGCATGAAGATGCTGGGGCTGAAACCACACAGAGGAGGGAGAGGGGGCAGCTGGAGACCCTGAATCCATTGGGAAGGAAAGCATCCCCTCCATCAATGGATGCTGGAAGCCACCTGAGCAACCTGACCCAGTGATGGCATCTCTGCCCATGGCACTGGGTTGGAACTGGATCATCTTTAAGGTCCCTTCCAGCCCAAACCAGTCTGGGATTCTGGGACTGAAGCCAAAAAGCAGAACATTTTGAAGCCAAGAAATGCAGACAAATGTGTTTTCAGGTAAAAGTTCCTCTCTGGGGTGAGTTATTGATGGTCTTTTCTTGCCCCCAAGCCCTTGTGAAGATGGACTGGTGTCCAGGTATTTCCAGACTCAGATGTCACTCCTCCCTGGAGCACTGTGACCCTGCACACCAAGATGCAACACAGGAGAAGCAAACCAGAAAAGAGGAGGAATCAACTTCTGCTGGGAGTGCTGAGCATTGGGGTTCCACAGGTTGGGTTGCTGGGATTGGCCAGTGGGCTGGGGATGCTGCTGGGGACCCAGAATCACAGGGACCTCTGGAGAGCACCCAGCCCAAGCCCCTGCCAAGGCAGGGCCACCTGGAACAGGTGACACAGGGACATGTCCAGGTGGGTTTGGAATGTCTCCAGAGAGGGAGACTCCACACCCTCCCTGGGCACCTGATCCAGAGCTCTTTTCCCTTCCTCAGGTTGGGGTGGAACTTCTTGTGTTTTAGTTTATGGCCACTGCTCCCTGTCCTGTCACTGGCACCACTGAACAGAGTCTGGCACCATCCTCTGACACCCCTTGGGGATGTTTATGTGCTCTCATCAGATCCCTCTGAGACCACCCTGCTCCAGACTAACCACACCCAGCTCCTGCAGTCTCTCCTCACATGAGAGATGCCCCAGACCCCTCAGCACCTTTGGAGCCTCCCCAGCAGCTCCTTGTCTTCCTTAAACCAGAATTTAACCCAAAACTCCAGATGTGGCTGAGTAGAAGGGAATCAACCCCCCTGACCTGCTGGCCACACCAAAACACCCTCCAGCCCTCCCTTGGCCCCCAGGGCACAGCTTGACCATTAACAGTTAAACTGGCTCAGCAGTTCAAGGACTCAGAGCAGGTTACCAGCCTCAGGAAACTCCTCCATCCCTCTGCCATGGTTTGGGGTCACAGCCCAGCTCCTGCTCCAGAGCTGCCCCAGGCACAGCAAGGGTCCCAAGCCCAGGGAGTGCCTGGTGCACAACTGGGTGAACATGTGAAATCCTGCAGCATCACTTTGCTCTGCCTGGCCTCCTGCTGGCAGCCTCAGCAGGGATCCCAGTGCCAAGGACCTGAGGAGAGCAGATTAGTCCTTCCCTCCTTTCAAGATGCCATCCCTGCACCTGGGAATGCAAAGGCTGCTCAGTGGAAAGCAGCACTCCCTGTGCTCACAGCAGCTTCCTACCTGCAATAAGAGGAGAAAAAGGGAAAAAAAAAAGGCCCCTCCAGGAGTTTAAACCCCTGACAGTCTCTCAAAGCAGGCTGAAGTTTATCTGAGAGCAGTGACTGTGCAGGTCTCACCCAGCACTGTGGCTCTTGTAAAGCAGCTGCCTTGGGTGAAGATTCAGAAGCACTGGAGCAAATGGAGAATTTCCTTCCCAACACCCATTCCTGCTCCTTTGTGCTGCTGCTTTCCTGGAACTTTCCACCCCTGGGCTTGGGCAATCACAAAAGGAGTGGTTTGCCTTGAAAGGTCAAGGGAGACACAGAGCTGGGAGTGAAGCACACGAGGAGCTGAATTCACTTGCAATCCCTGCAAAGAAACCACTTTTTAATAGTTTCTCTCTGAGTCAGACTAAAGACAATATGGCCTAATAAAAGCTTTTTTCCACTCATCTCCCATGTCCCTGCCCCCTTCCCCCACCCTGTCAAAGGGAAGTATGGACCTAAGCTTACACCCACATGTGAAACTGAACTGGAACATTTCCCATGGACCACAGAGCAGCCTCATCCACAGCTTTTTTCTATCTGTGTTGAGCAATTTTACACAGACAGGGACACTGAGCCTAGTGAACAACTTCCACAGGCTGGCACTCACCCCAAGAACTGGAAATGAAAGTGCTGGAATGTGCAAAGAGCTTGTTCCTACAAACACATGTCCCATTTAGAGCTCAATCATTTCTCTTTATCAGGATGAAGGCAGAAGAGGAGAGCCCAGGTGGGAACCACAGGGGATTTCTGCAGCACCTCCCTGCTGAGGAACAGAGAACAGAACACCACAACTGCCCACACAAGGGCCTCCCACCCACCAACAACCCATGAGGTGTCCCAAATGAAGGCTGAGGACCAGCAGGAAAGGTCCACTGCCTCCAAGCTGCACATCAGCGAGGGCCAGGATGGATGGGAGCACCTTGGAGCACCCTGGTCCGTGGTACAAGGTGGAATGAGATGAGCTTTGAGGTCTGTTCCAGCCCACACCAGTCTGTGATTCTGTGACTATCAACTCAGCTCAGCTACTGCCCCACCCTTCCCTGCAAGAGACCTTCATGGAGATCTCCACCAGGGTGATGTTCTCCACTACAGCTGACAGGCCTTGCTTGGGGTCAGAGCCCTGAATATCAGCCCAGGCCTCAAGCTACCCGAATTTCCTGTCTTGTGCTGGACTCAGGCAAAACTCAAGTTTGTGCAGAGGTGGAACTGGTGCAAGGCCATTCAGAGGAGGTGGAACTGGTGCAAGGCCATTCAGAGGCAGCAGAGGAGCTATGGGATGTGCTAACACAATTCCACCAGGGACCTGACCTGCCCTCAGCATCAGCACCTTTCTAAGGCAGGAGGGAGTGAAAAGAGGGGGAAACGGAGCAATTCACAGTGAGCTTTAGTCAGCCTTTGGATCTGCAGCTTCAAGTTTTGGAAGTTTGGATGCCAGGTTAATATTGTCAGGTTACCTGGCAGGGTTTTTTCCCAAAGGGAACAGGATCCAGAGCAGCTTCAGTCACACACTGCAGCCATGGCTCCCACCAAACACACCCTCAGCAGCCAAACCAAGCCAGTCTGTGCCACTGACAGGGATATTCAGCATCATCATCCTCCTCACTGAAGGGAAATGACTGTTCAAGAGAACTGGAAGCTGAGACTTCAGGGTGCTTTTCCAGTCCACACATCCCAGCTGATTCCCCAAGGCAGGAAACTGTGCTCAAAGGAACTATTCCTGCAAGCCTGCTGGAATGATTTCATGTTCATGCAACAGTCAAAAATGTGCATTCTGTGCCAGCACTAAACACTGTTATTAACAGGCTTTTGGGCTGTGAACCAAGGTTCTGGTGGTGATGATGCTCCCAGGATCCCAGCTGGGGAGCCAGGGGCACAGCAGCACACACACCACGGGCTGTGACACTCCTGGTGTGCCTGGGGAGGCAAGGACACTGCAGAACATTCCAGAAGAACTGAGATTCACATTCAGGAGCCTCCTCTCCCTGGGAATAGAGACTGGAGTGGTTGGAATTTCAGCTTCACCTTGTGAAGCCTCAATACTGCCCCTGCACAGGGAGGGCTCTCAGCTTCCCTCTGACACAGCATTTCCTCCAAGTCAAAGCCAGTCAAGAGGCACAAAAATGTCTCTTCCCACCCTCTTTTGGATTTTTTACCTCCACAGATTCCTGACACCTTAACATCAACCAAGAGCTACACAAAAAAACCTTTATAATCCTGAGCTAAGAAAGGCAAGGGATCAAAGCTTTGGGAGTTTCCCCAAAGCAGCACAACCTCCCATCAGCACCTCCTGACACCTCAGACTTTGTCTCTGCTCTGCCAGACCAGAGGTCCCTGTGCCACCACTGCTGGCAGCAGGATTCCTGTGCTCCCAGTTAATATCCAAGCACCTGACACAGAATTCAGTATTTCTGCCTGTTCTGAGCTTTACTTCCTAACTAGAGCAACTTGACAAAACATTATGCTGGACAGAAAAGAAAGAAAAAAGCAATGCTGTACTCACACACAACTGAATTAAGTCCAAAATTTTGCTTCTAGATAAGAGTAGGGATTTGGATGGGGCCAGTTCAGTGCTTTTATAATGCTCTGTTATGGAAAGGAGAACAAAAATATACCAAATCCCTGAAGAGCTGTGAGAAGTAACTAGTCCAGGAATAATAAAAAATGGAAAGAAAGGAGGGAGTTGGGGGAAAGATAAAGGGTGGTGGGTTTTTTTTCCGTAATCCCACTGACACATTTATTAAACCCTTAGATTTGTGTGCATGTAACTCACAGACAACCCTGCAGGAAAAGACTTTGTCAATTGAACCTGTGCTGCATCCTGCACAGTAAGAGCTGCAGAACCCCCACAGGAGCCACGAGGTGTGGGGTGTCTGAGCCCTCCAGCCACCCTGCAGCCATTGGAGCTGCTCAGAGAAACCCAGAGCAAAACAGAAAGTCAACATTCCTAGAGGGAGGAAAAGGTCACGGTGGGGAGGGATCAGAGTTCAGCTCAAACCAGGCACACACAGGAAGTTCAAAGTAACTCCTGTGCACTTCACACCAATGCAGAAGTGAAAATTAGATCTCCTTCTTCAGGGGAGCAGTGAGGGATGGACAGAAAAGCAAATCTGCATCTCCAGTGGAAGAGCCCTGCTGAGAACAAACACAGGAGAAGGGAGCCTGTGCTTGTGGGAGCACAGCTGAGCTGCTGGGGGCACTGAGCACATCTCCAACCCCCAGTTGTGTCCCCATCTGTGCCCACCTCACCAGCCAGCTCTGACCCTCAGCCAGTGCTCACCTTCCTCTTTGTTGTTGGTGATGTCTTTCAGCAGCTCAGTCTTCATGCAGCCGTCTTTCCTTGGCTCTCCCTTGCTCAGCACTGCTCGCTGTGGTGGGGGAGAAGAAAAAACAGAAACATCAGGGTTGAGCTCAGTGCTCAGACACACACGGTGCATTCAAAAGAAGAGACAATCATGGACACATCCTGTTTACAGCGCAGCCAAACCTCCCTCTGCAAAATAAAGGCTGCCAGGAAGCTGCCACCAAGGCACAGGTCACAGATAAAACACGGCAGGGCTGGCCCAGGCTGACAGCCCCAGGAGCACGGGGGCTCCAGGCTGTGCCCAGGGCTGGCACCTCCCAGCTCAGGCTTGGATGCAGCCAGACAGATTTTCCCAGTGCAACGTGCCTGGGAACCCAGCTGAGTCCATCTGCGTGAAAGGCATCTCGAGGAGGTGACTCTGACTCCCCCAAAACTTTCAGATCTATCAGACTTCTCACTACGACCTCATTTATCAACAGTTCCAGCCCATGTGCTTTTGGTGGCTTGGTTGGGTTTTTTTGCAGCTCATTCAAATGAACATCCAAAATTGCAAACCATCACTCAGCTACAGCTACCTCCTCATTCATAACATCCATGTTTATTAAAGTTAATGAGCTCTATTTTTAATTCTGTGGAAAGCAATTTCTCTTTTTCCTCCTCTTTAAAAAAAAAGAAAAATTACATAAAAAAGAGAACACCTGCTCATCTCCTCTGCCTTTCACACGCCTTGCGCCACGTTGTTAGCTCAGGTTTGCAGCCTTCATACCTTCCCATTCTCTATTTTGAAGTAGCAAGACTGAACCAAAAAAACAAAACCAAAAAAACAAAACAAACAACCTACTACCAAAATAAACCAGAAGGAAAATGGTATTTTAAAAAATGAGATAGAAGGGGTCTTTGCCCCAGCTGAGTTTCAGGAGAGGGCTGGGAGTGCCCTGCAGAGCTGGAGGTCAGAGCCGGGTTCAGCGAACGCTGCACGAGAATAAGCCCAGGTCAAGCCAACTGCTGTAGGCCAGCACGGGGAGCAGATGGTGCCTGCAGCCATGCAAATCACAGGGTTTAAAGCTCACTGGGTGATAAAGAAAGAAAAACAACCTGCCCACCTCCCTTAGAGCAAGTGAGGGGGATGAGACAGGCATGGAGGCCGGTGAGCAGCTCCCAGCAGCTCTCCCATGCTGGGTGGGACTGTCCAGAGCTGCCAGGGGAGATGGGCTCTGGTGCTGTCACCAGCCACCCTGCCAGGCTGGGGAACTCACAGCAATGCCCTGCGCTGGCAGGTGCTGCAGAGCAGCCCCCAGCCCCAGGCAGGGCTCACCCAGCCCCAAATCCCTGCAGGATCGCCCTGTCCTGCCCCCAAATCCACCATGGCAGAGACACACACCAAGGGAAGGAGGGAGACAGATTCCTGGGAAAGCCTCCACCACCTGCCAGGCCCAGAGCTAAGGGCACTTCAAGGATGGCTCCTGCAGCACAGGACAGAGGCTGTGGGTGGCTGCCTGTCCCTGCCTGTCCCCCACCTGCCCCAAGCACAACGAGACACAAACCCAGCCACATCTCAGTGCCCTCAGCACCAGCACCTTGTGCTCCAAACACAGCACCTTCAGATCTCCAGTCACACACCAAAAAGCTGCTGTGAGCACTGGAAAGCTCAGCTCAGTCCAGCTTACACAGAACCTACCTTCAGCAGACACTGGCCAACAGCTTCCATTGAGAAATGACCATAAAGCACAGCCCAAACTCTGAGCATAGAGCAGCTGATTTATTTATTCACTTGCTAAGCCAGTAATTCATATCCTTGCTGCAAACATGAGCTTGTAAACCCTACCTCTCCTCTAGCCAGACCTCTTGTAAACTGGGAATAACCTCAGTTTTTCTCATGGATTATCCTGCAGCAAGACCTGAGCAAAGAGAGCTCAGAGTGCTCGAGGGCAGCCCTGGCTCCCACCACAGCCAGGGGCACCAGGCCCTGGCCACAGGCACCAGCAGCAAATAAAGAGCCTCAGTAAGCCTAACAGGGACCAGTTTGTTTTCCCAACCTTTGTTGCAACAAGGAGAGGTCTTGATATTCCTGCTCCTCCACTGACTCATACAAGAAGCCCCAGGATTTCCAGGGGCCATTCTTTGCCATCTGAGCATGATTTTTCCTGTGTTTCCTAAGCAGTAACCTCACTCCACACACTGCCCACGCTCTCCCTTCCACACAGGCGTTGCTGCTGCTCGCCCGTGAGGAGAAGCCACTGCAGGAACCCTGGGCTCAATGAGACCTTGACCACCGTCCCTGCTCCCTGCAGTCACCAGCAGCTCAGAGCTGCCTGCCCAGCTCTCAAAGCAGAAGTCCCAACTCCAAGAGAGAAACCATCACTATTGTCCTTCGAGAGTACAAAAGCTGGGTGCCAAGGCAAGGCTGGCTGAGGTGGCATCTCCCAGGCTCTCCTTCCTACCTCAGAGACAGCAGAGGCGACAACGTTAAAACTTCCCACCAAAAACTCAGCATCAAGGTAGAAAAGAAAAGAATCATTAAAAACAAAAATGAAACAAAAAACCAACTGTGAATTTTGAAGCATTTGGATCAGAAGGAAGCTACAGGAAATCTCTGTAAAGCGCTCAAAGCCTCGTCCCCCCAGGCCATTGCTCTCCCATCAACGCCCAGCACCGAGGGGCACCCATGGGGCACCCAGCACCATCCATCCCACCCAGCTCCACCCAGTCAACTTAGCACCAACTTCACCGCAAGTGTCAATACCTCCAGCTTTTGTGTGTGTGTGTGTGTGTGTGTGTTGAGTTTTTTTGCCCTCCCCTCCCTTAAATCCAGAGCAAACTTCCCTTTCTGCTCACCCTCCCCATGCCCCATCCGTCCGCTCCCGATTGGCAGGGAAATCCTATACCCACCCTCCCCGCCGAGAAATGTCTGCTCTTGCAGCAGTCCCAACAAAGCCAACTGCCAAGCACACGCTGCTTCACAATAAAAGTCTCACTCGCTCCATTTATTTTTTTCCTCCTTTCCCCCTTTCCCGCAGCCGTCTGCCTCCATTCCCTCGCCCACCCCAGACTGATTATTAACCATCCGTGGCTGGAGAACCTCCATAAAGAGCACACACAACCAGCCACGAAGCGTTCTTGCCCCCCCAACCCTTAATTTTTAGGTTTCAAAGGGTAGGAAAAATTAGTGCATCTGAAGAAAGACTGATTGGGTCTCTGAAAGGGCTTTAAGAGCCATGAGGAGCCAGGCAGAGGAGCTACTGCTGGTTTAGTTTTTTCCTTTCTGCCTCTGTTTATAAGAAAACAAGCTTCCTCTCCTCCATGAGGTCTTTGGAGGAGATGGAAGACAGGTCAGACCGGCCAAGGAAAGGCTCTGCAGCATTTCCAAACAGATGATGACTACAAACTACAGTGGTGCCTTTAAAACAAACCAAAAAAAAAAAAATCAACCAAAAACCCAAAAAGCAAAAAAATAAAAAAAAACCCATCAATTAAAAAAAAAAAAAAAGAAAGAAAGAAAAAGGGAAAAGAAAGAAAAGAAAAAGAACAAAGCTGAAAGAGCTTTCTCAGCCTCCTCTCCTTGGTATTTTCATCAGCCATCCGGGTGCCCTTCGCAAAGGTCCAAACAGGTTTTATAGGCACAGACAACACATGCACAGCAAAACTCCAACATATTGCAGCTTACCGAGCCCAAGGGAGCAGAGTTACATCATGAGCCCAGCTCCCTGCTCTCCCGGCAGCCCGGCAAGGAGCGCAGGCTGAGGTGCCAAGATGTCTACCTTCACCAGGGTCTTTTTTTTTTTTTCTTTTTTTTTTTTTTATGTCTTAAAAATCAACGGTCTGGGAACCCGAGGCTCGCAGCAGCAGCGGTGCTGTGAGCAGAGCTGTGCACACACAGCAGGTCCTTCTGGAAGAGGGCTGGGAGCAGGAGACCCCTCAAAGTGCCCGTTCCCATGCGGGGCAGCGCAGGCACCGACACCTCTGTGGGATGGACAGCACTGATCCTGCCTGGATCCAGCCCCCAGCTGGTCACCAACCCCTCTGAGGGGACACCAAACCCCACCAAGAACACAGCCCCTGGGAAAGATCCCACCAGCCAGGAAAATGAGGGCTGCAGCAATGCTGGAGCAAGGCAGAGGCAAATCTCTCAACAAACGATGCAACCCCAGCAGCAGCCGATTCTTATTCAGTCATTTTTTATCTTCTTCTCCTAAAAAAAAATAAATTGAAATAACACAACCCAAACCAGCCTGCTTATGATAACCTTTGCCTTGAAGAGAAGACAAACATTTTGTAGTTAATTATATAGGAAGTAATGATTAAGAGAATGTTTGTAGAAAGAGAGTGTTTCTTTGTAGGCACGGGGAGGCTGCTCATTTCAGATCTCAGCACTGTGCTTGGGCAAGGCCTGGGCTCAAGGCTCGTGGGGACGCTGACCACGGGTCTGTCATTACAAACAACAGAAGCATTTGATCTGCAGAAGGAAGGAAACACAACCACGAGCATACCTGGCCTACAAAGCAGTCACCAGTCTCAAAGCTCCTTCTTTTCAGGCTAAGGCCACTTCCTTATAAGCCTCATGCAATCATGTGAACATGGAATTTTATCTGCAGCTCACAACAAGCACTGCCCTCAGCCTGAAGTTTGCTCCCAAATCAAATTCTTTGCGATTCTTTTGTCTCCCGAAATCCTTTCATCCAGACTATTCTCCATAGAAAAGAAACATTTCCTTCTCAATCCCCATGTCCTCTCTCTCCTGTTCCAGCACACACCCCCTGAGAAGGGGGGAAGCACAGACAGAGGTGCAAGTCCCTGCATGCAGGAGCTGGGAACACGGAGACACGTGCATGAAACACAACAGGACTGAAAGTGACTTCTCCCAAGACAAGGCATTCCACGACGGCGTGCAGGCTCCAGGCAAGGGGGGTCTGCAGAGCCCGTGCCCTCTTGGAAAGGGGAGATCGATTTACACTTCCTCACTGCTTCCAGGCCCATCTAGCTGCATCCCAGTAGAGTTAAAGCCAGTGCAACTTGTGTGTGCAGGCAAATGTAAATCCAGAGCAGACAAAGGCGTCCCCTCCTTCCACAGGCTGAGGGTAGCAAGGAGTCCAGCTGCTGCCTGCCTTCTCCTAGCCCCCGGCAGGGGAGGAGGGGAAGAAAACCCTAAAATGGAGACCAAGATTCATCACTATCTCTAACAAAAGCAAACCAGCCATTTCAGAAACACCCAGTCCCCAGGAACTGGCTGAGCCAGGACAAAGCCAGAGCACCAAGAGGAGCCTGGAGCAAGCAGATTCCAGCAGTCCAGGGCAGGGGAGGTGGGAGGCAGCTCACCCCCATCAATGGGGCTCAGGTACCTCCTTCAGCCTCCACGCTCCTCTGCCTCCCACCCCAAAGCACCGCAGCCAGCGGAGCAGGTCCCTGTCCCCCTGCCCATGCCCATGGGGCCCAGCCAAAGGGTCCATGGGGCAGCAGAGGAGGGAAAACCCCTCGTGGGTTCCCCTGGGACCACGACGGCCTGGCTGAGCTGCCCACAGCACCTCCACCTGGGTCACCTCCGGCCATGGAGCGGCCAAGCAGCGAGGCAGCGGTGCCTGTGAGCCGGGAAAGCGCACAGGGAGAAAGGAGGGGAAAAAAAAAGACAAAATAATAATGAAAATAATCATAATCATACAACTTGCACCCTCGGGCCTGTCCCTCTAATAACTACAGCAAAACCTCACCAAGGCCTTACTCTGCTGGAGGGCGAGAAAGCGACAGAGCGCTGCCCAGCACCCGAAGTCCTGGAGGTGGGAGATCCTCACACCCTCTCCTCCATGGCCTACGGGCTTCGTCCCCGGCGTGGGGCCTGGTTTTTCTGCTCTGTCATTAAGAGTGGAGCCTGGTCTTTTCCTTCAATCCCAAGAATTGCACGGAATTAGATCATCTTTCTGGCTCGCCTCCCCCTACAGGCAGCTCCCGAGCATGCTCAGCGCGGCCGCGCTGCCATTTCATAACCGCATTGTTTACGGACACACGGACCTGCCATCTTTTGACAGGGACACAGGGCCCGTGTCCCTGCCCAGAGCCCCGGCCCCGGCCACAAACACCCCCCTAGGGGCAGGCAAAGGGAGAAAGCATGGCAAAGGAGAAGCCTGGGGGGTGATGGTGATGGGTTTGTTGTTTTTTCTGATGGTTTTTGTTTCTTTTTGCTCCTTTTTCGCTCCTTGATTTAGGTGAAAATCCACGTGCTTTGGAGGGAGACGTTAACCCCTGTGGGGGCTGTGGGGAGGAGGAACTCGCAGGGCTGGATGCAAAATGCCAGCCATGATTTTTAGCTTCTTGGAATCACAACTGTGCTTTGATGACACCTAAAAATATAATCCCCAGCCCAGTCTGCCATCCTCTGCCGAGCCTTCCTCTGAGAGAGAATATGGTATTTCCCTTAAATAAACAAGTTGGCTTAGTCCCAGCACATACAGTTTTCTCCTTTAAATGCAAACCAGAGTATTTTTGCAGGCACACAGGAAAACGAGGAGAGGAGGAGGGGAAATGTTCTTCATTTAACACCAAGAACTCCATGAAAAGCCTTGCAAGGTTGCTCAGAGCCCCGCTCCGTTCCAGCCCTCTCCCTGTCTGTGCTGATCATACTTCACAGGTGAAAGCAGCTCTGACTTATGACAGAGAGAAAATGCCAGAAGAGCTGGAGGTTTCCTCATCCTTGGAACAAGGACAAGTTGTGAAAAGCTTCCTTTGCAAGAGGCACTGTGCTGTTCAGGCACAGTATGGCAGTGTTGCAGGGAGGACACTTGCACGTCAGACCTTCTTAACCCCCACTGCCTCTTTCCCCTCCTGATGGGGACTGAAGGAAAAACAGAAATAAACCACCTGGTTTGGAGGATGCAAGTTGTTGTGTTGGAGTCCAGGATATTCTGTAAAAGCTTGCTCAACATTTTCTCCTCTTCTATATTTTCTTTTTCTTCTTTCTAATGGAGGCTTTCCAATTAGCTTGTACAGTTTGAGTGCTTCTCTCCTGCTGCTTTCCTGACTACTGTAAATGCTGGCAGGCTGCCCTCCTCCTCTGCCCCCCTCCAGGACCAACAGCACCCTAAGGCAAAGCCAGACACGAATCCTGCACCCAAGAGACCAAGGAGCTCACAGGGGCACAGGAGGGACAAATCCCACTGGAAACATGAGGGGCCACAAGGGTCTGCAAAGAGGGGTTGGTGTCAAAACTCTGAATTCGGAGGAGTCAGAAAAAATAACTGGCTGAAAATGGGAGTCGAGGATTATAAACTCAGGGATTTGTTTCCAAATCACTGACATTCCATGTCACTGCAGGAACATATGGTCCTCCAAGGCTGGCAAGCAGGGAGCACACGCCATCAGTGCCCCGAGCCTTTGGGCTGACCCCAACACACGGTCACTCCCCACTGCGGCCATTCCTCGACCACTCTCAGCTCCAGGAGCAGGAAGGAGAGAAGGGAAAACTTCAGGGAAAAGCAGCAAAAGGAAAACAAAGAGGAGCAGCAGGAGCCAAGCCAGCCCTCCCCCAAACCAGCTGGCCAGGAGAGTGAAGTTCTTTAAAACTCCTTGTTTACCTGAATAAAACAATTCACTGCCATTGCATGAGGTGCACACAATCCTCTTTCCTTAGGAGATGGCATCACATGGGAGAGCTCCTGGGAGCCAGGCCATGGAGCTGCCTCTGCCCCCTGCCCAGGGCTGGTCTCACAGAGGCTGAGCTGCAGGAATATGCCCCATATGTGCCACAGAGCCTACTTCCACCCAAACATGTTCTGGGACGAGGGCGAGAGCTCGTGCTGGCACCGCACAGTCAGGTAAATACAGGAAACGGAACAAAACCAAGAGCCAAAGGCCCCACTTTGGGCTCTTAACCCTTGCTGAGAAGCAGTGCCAAGCCCAGACCTCGGCAGCTCTCTTCCCTCCAAAGTAGGTCAGGCTTTTCTGTGTCTGCAGACGCTTCCCAAGGGCACAGCTGGCAGGGACAGAGCGTTTCGGCCGGTGCCACACCGGTGTCACCGTGGTCACCACCACACAGGAGCACACCTCCCACACCTCAGAGGGTTTGGTTGTCTCCTCAGCCTTCATCAAGCCCAAAGCCCATTTTCTCCCTGGGTGGAGCTGCTCAGACAGCAACTCAAGGCCTCAGCTCTTCACTGTTAAAGAGAAATATCTGCTCCCTCCTCGTGACTTCTGATGCCTTTTCCTTTTCTTCTGGATGATGAACAATGAGCACATTTATAGTCCAGTGGAGACATGATAGATATTTAGATTGGGTATCTCAGATTGTCCTGTGTAAGCTCTCTAATCTTTTCAATGCCATCTTCACATCTTGCTCCTTGATTGAAAATTCAATATTGTGTCTGCATTGCAGCTTTGAGGGTCTCCCCGGAGCACAGCAAGCTCAGGCCAGTGTTCTGCAGGGGTGTCTGTGCCTTCCATGGCCCTGGGACCTCCTGTGTCCGTCCCAAATCTCACTGAGGTCTGTGGCAGCCAACAGAGTTCTTGCATGTAACATGAATCACAGAGAAAAAAAAATTCCCAAGGGCAGAACCAGGGGGCTGAGTTTTATAATATGTTGCAGGCACGGACCTCCTGCCATGAAATCAACCAGGGATGTTTCCTTTTACTCAGATGTTTCCTTGGATTGCTACTATGAAAAAAAAAAAAAAAAAAAAGAAGCAGAAGAGAGAGAGGAGGAAGTCGCCCCGAAATAAAAAGGATTTCTTCTTCCTGGTGAAACGCTGCTGGCTCTTGCCTCCACCCAAGTGAGCCATAGGCAGAGGCTGTCAAAAGAGACGCAGTGAGGAGGTTCCATGTGGCCACAGGCCCTCTCCTCCCCTTCAGAAATTCAGTCTTCAAGCAGCTCGGGCACCCCAGGCTTTGTGCCTTTTTCTTCTTAGAGCTACAAGCAGGGAGGGCTCCTTGGAGAATTTTCCAGAAACTTCACACTTAAAAAGCACAAACAAATCCAAAACCAAAACCAACCCCAAGCGAACCTCCCCACCCCAGGAGCCAAAGGAAAGGCACGAGGGAACAAAGCCCAAGGTTTGCCAGCAGTGCCCGAGGTCCCTGGGAGCCCATGGAGCAACCATCCCGGCAGGATGGGGCACCCTGGCAGGATGGGCACCCCAGCAGGATGGGCACCCTGGTAGGATGGGTGATGCCAGCAGGATGGGCACCCCAGCAGACTGGGCACCCCAGCAGGATGGAGCAGCCATCCCAGCAGGATGGGCACCCCAGCAGGATGGGTGATGCCAGCCCTCCTGCACAGGCCAGCCACGCGCAGAAATATCCAAAGAAATGAACAAACAACCCCGGCCATGCTTCCCCGGCCTCTCCTCTCCTCTCCTGTCCTCTCCAAGGCCTCTCCTTCCCCAGGCTGCCCTGCCAGGGCCTCGCCAGGCACGGGAGGAGGACGGACCCTGCGGTACCTGCGGGCAGCTGTTGTCTTCTTCTGGTGAAGACTCCAAGAGTTGCATATTCCAGATCCTCATGAGCAGTGATTCAGTTTCTGCTCATGTGATAAAGCTCCCTCTACAGAGTGAGCATGCCCAGAAGAGCCCATTTCACTGCTCCCTCCACTGCAGCCATTTCACAGAGAACCTGCCGGCTCCAGGGCGTCCATTGGAGCGCGATTATCCCGGGCATCCCGGGGACGCACCGCTAATGCAGATCATCTGTCAACTTTCTGACAGGGCGCCAGGCCTCAAAACTGATCACTCGCCTGAAAAAAAGAGAAAGCTTTTTAAACCACACTGCTGTCTCGTGGCCCTCAAGAGTAGCACTTGCCCGTGGGAAAAGGAGAGGCAGGAGGGACAGGGAGGGATGTGAGTGGCTTGGGGGTGTCCTCAGGCTGATTTTGTTGTGTTGAATGAAGTGCCCGACCTCTGAGAGCTGGGATGAAGGCACATGGGTTAAACTGATGCAGTGAGCAGTGTCCAAGACAGAGTCTTTGAGATCTGAACTGCTGATCTGAAGGGGAGATCATTTTCACTTTGGGGATTAATAACCTGACCGGCTACAACTGACTTTGAAAGAGTATCACAAACACAGTCATAGAAAAACAGGGGGGCAATGGAATGAAGGGACATCCTCATGGATCCATCCTCATCCTCACCCTAATGAAGGGATAGTTCACTACGAGGCGCAGGAGCTCTAAGCTCAGCCTATGTCAAATCCTACAATACTGCTGGCCCCAGCCAGCAAGATAACAGAAGAAATTTTAGCTTCAAAATAAAAGTAGTTTGTCTCTGTTCCACTTCACAATTAAGCATAAACTCTTGGCAACCTTCATATCTGCTAAGGCTCCCAGTAAAACTGCCAGAGCAGCTCGCAGGAACATCTGTAAGCAGAGCTCGGCTGGAAGGGATTCAAGGAAGACTGGCATTTATGGGAGACACAAGCAGGAGGCTGCTGGAGCCGGTGTCAGGCTGGAGAACCTCCCCCCGAGCAGGGGGAGGGCGGCCAGCAACCTCGGGAAGAGGCCAGAAGGAAGAGGAAACTCCGACATGGCCCCGTGGCACCACCCGAGTGCTCCTGGCCAAAGGAAAAACAGCTTAGCAGAGGAGGAGAGCACCAGAGAGAGTCCTCCTTAAGAGAGAGTTCTCCTTAAGAGCAGAAACTACAGTGAAGATGAGTGGAGTGAAATGTGTGACAGCGAGCTGGGGAGGGCAGGAGCAGCAAGGCATCCAAATCCGTGGGGAGCTTTGGAGGAGCCTGGGGATGGTGTTTGCCCTGCCCCAGCACAGGCCAGTCCAGGCCTCAGCACAGCACAGCAGCCATGGCTCTGCCAGGCTGGGAACATCCACCAGCCACGTTTCCTCCAGGCCCAGCAGCTCTTTCACCACCGTGGCCAGGCACGTTTGCAGAGCTGCAATAATTAAAGCAGCAAAGAGTTGCTACAGATCTCCCTCGGCTATGAGGACATTGTTTTCCTCTCCACACTCTGGAGAAGTTTCACTACTAAACAGTTAAAGCACACAAGGCTAAATCGAGATGATTGAAATTCACAGGCAAGGAGTATTTGAGGTGACAGCATAAAGAAAGGATTGCTCTTTCACCCACCAGGTTTTCATTTTATGTGAATCTTAAGTTTTAATAAACACAAAATGAGATTTTCCTGGCCTTCCTCTCAGTTGCTGAGAGGTGTAGAGGTAACTCATTTAAAGACAAATTCAAAAATCCCCAAACAAAAGCAACAAACCCCAGCTAACAGACAGGAGTTGCATTATCCACCGCATCAAAAGATTACTGTACTTCAAACCAAAGATGGCTTTAAAACAGTTGATGTGCTGCCCTTCCTTGCAGCATGAAATTACCAAGCTTTCATTAAAAGCCCAGAAATAGAAATGAAGATATTAACAAAGGCAGTGTCAATGATCCAGCACAGTCAACATTCCCTTTCTGAGATAAAATAAGGCGGCACAGCCTCAGCCTCCTCACTGCATCTCCACACCAGACATGTTTTCACTGCTGAGGTTAAATATACACTGAGAGCAGATGCTACCAGAGATGCTTTTCACATCTCATGGCCACCCTTGAAAGCACTAAACACTGTTTAGAAACAAAAAGGAGAAAGCAGAGCTCATCAGGGCACTGCAGATGCTTCAACAACCAACTTGAGTAAAGCATCGATCGAGCGTAGCAGCATCTCTGCCACGGGGGATGCCTGGGTGTCACTCAGTGAAACCTGACATTTCTGCCATCCAAAAGGAGCAAGAAGCTTCCAGGGCACAGGCATTGGCAGTGGGAGGGGTGTCTCCTGCCCAGGACCCCCCTGTCCCCCTTGGCAGGGTGCTGCACATCAGCAGTCACAGGCTCTTTGCAGGCTGGCTGTGGGAGAGGTTTTGCTGATGATGCAGGATGAGAACAGGCCCAAGCCCCGAGAAGCTGTGCTCTTTATTTAACCCAAATACCCTCCAGCTGCCTTCCCACCACAGCCAACACCCCCCTTTGCAAACATTCCTGCCAGGGCCCACAGATTACAGGGTATTTTCACTCCACGGCTCTCCAGCCTCCTTCTCTGATTGAAGGCTCAAACACCCCTTTCAGAAATCCCACATTTCCAGGAGAAGGGAGCAGCACAAACACCTTCCTTCACAAAGGACACCAGGTTCCTCAGGGCTCTTGCTTAATGACACCATTAAGTCCAGCATTTTCACAGCTCCCTTGCAGGGGAAGCCCAAGTGGGAGGCAAAGGGAGGTTTTTTTCTTTTTATAGGAAGAACAATATTTAGCTCTGCAAAACACAGAGGGTTTTCCTTATTTCCTTTCTTCCATCAGGCTCCTCTTCTTGCAGACCCTCCAGCTGATCAAATCTGCTGCTCCCTTTCAGCCTCCTCAGAAGCAATCCCAAAAGCTGAAGGTTCTTTGGGTATGAAAAGAGCATTTCTGCTGGGATCCTGATTGTTTCTGCACTGCTATAAACCATTCTCCAGCTCCACCATAAGCTATTCAAACGTTCCTTCTGCTCTTTAACAGTTATATACAACATTTATTAATCAGAATGTCCCAGGACACACTGGGTATCCATCCCCAGCACCCTCCAATGTCCACCTCCAGGCCCAGGTAGCAGCTTTGAAAGAACAGGCAGTCATTAATGCATCTTTTGGAATCACAGTTTTCCCCATCTTTCAAAACCTGGTTTATGTCCCTAAAGCTTTCAAGCCATCTCCCTTCCTTCCCCCTTTTCCCCAGCAGAGCTGAAAACTGTTTTTATTTAATAGGAAACAATAAATGTTCTCTGGGATGCTGCATTGAGTAAATCATAAATGCTAAAAAGGAAAAAAAAAAGGAAAAGAAAAAAGATCCTTTTGGACAGCAATTGAAATGTGAGCTCTCTGGGAGATGGTGCTGTTTTGATAAGACTATGCATTGAATATTTCATTTACAGGGCAATCCTAGAACTTTATTTAGCAGCATATTGGCCAGACAGCTGTAATTTAGAACATACTGTATTCCTAACAGCAATTATAAATTCCTTCAGCTTTAACTTACAGTAACCACAGCTCCTTCTATTTTGGAGCTCTAAATCCACCATTTCTCCCCTTCACTCAGCTATGGCATATCAAGAGCTCCTACAGTACAAACACAGCCTTGCTGGAGAAGGATCCTAAATCCAGCATTCTCTACCCCCAGCAGAGCTAGCAGGCTTCCAGCACACTCACTGCTCCACAGAGCAATGTTTTATTGGTTTATTTGGGGACAGTGGCCCCATTTGTCAGTGCAGAGCCATCCTGCAGTGCCCTGCCAGCAGCGGGCTGGGAAAATGGCTGTGCACATTCCATCCTCCTCCTGCTGCAACGAGAGCTGGAGCTCCTGCCAGCAAGCCTCACGTGTTCAGCGCGGCCCTGTTCTTTGACCTCACACCTATTTTTTTTAAGGATTAAGGCACTGACATGAAAATAAGCAAGCTCTTCACTGGAGGAGAATCGGTGCTCCACGAAGCCTTTGTGTCTCTCCCCTGATCATGAGCTCCTGTGGAACAGCGCCTGTTGACGGCTCTCCCAGCCATCCTGCTGACTTGATCAAATTTCTGCAAGGAACAGAAGGAGCAGATGAACTCTGGAAAAACAAAGCTCCTGCCTCCATGCAAATATCCCTGGTTAAGAGGAGCGGAGAAATAGAGCGAGCATGATGTGTGTACGGAATTGGCTCCACAGACGCTGCTTCTCAGCAACTGCCATAAGGTGGCAGTGGGTCTTTAAGGCTACCTTACACCTTCCCACAGCACAATAGGAACGAGCACACCAGTGGGTTTCCAGCAGCTGAAACTGATTAAGTCAAATTTCCTCATCAAGGGAACCAGGCCCTAGATGAAAACTTGGGGCTGAGATCACCTCCACTGCTAGAATCACACAAGGAGGAAAAGCCACGGGGGTGAATTCTGCAAAGCCATAAAGGCAGCCCCCATCTGAGCCAAAGAAAATCAGCCCCTTTTCCCTCTGGCTGTACAATCACAATGCTGTTTGTTTTACAGAAACGCTTCTCTTTGTGCATTCATCCAGCCATAAACAAGCCAGTGACCATTAAAGAGTAGGAGAAGTTCTGCCTGGCCAGCAAGCTGGGCTCCAGCAGGATTTTATGCAGGGAACATAAAAGCCAGTCCAGTAAGCAAGCTGGTCACCAGCTCAGCACTGGGCTGATATAGCAAAACAGGCCCAGAAAGCACCGAGGAAGAGTTGGGTTCACAAGGAAGATGGAACCAGGCAATAAACAGGCAAATTACTTTAGGTAATGAAGTGACTCATCATGCAGAATTGCCCATCACCTGGGACACAGCAATAAAATCAAATCTATGCCAGTCACCCCCTGAACCATGCTGTGAAAAATGGCCAGAGGTGCCCTGAAGGAAGAGCTGATCTACCTTACAGCACAGAGCTGTGATCACAGAGATTTCAGCCCAGAAAGTCAAACACAATAATTCTGTACCACCCAAGGATTCCCACTGCTGACAGAGCAAACCCCTCACCTTACCTGTACCTACAGCCAGGCT